TCATAGAACTGTTCAACTTCAGCTTATTCAGCATTACTGGTTCGGGCATAGACTTGGATTACTGTGATATTGAATGGTTTGCCTTGGAAACGAACAGAGATCATTATGTCATTTTTGAGATTGCATCCAAGTACTGCATTTTGGACTCTTGTTGACTATGATGGCTACTCCATTTCTTCTAAGGGATTCCTGCCACAGTAGTAGATATAATGGTCATCTGAGTTAAATTCACCCATTCCAGTCCATTTTCGTTCACTGATTCCTAAAATGTCAATGTTCACTCTTGCCATCTCGTTTGACCAATTCCAATTTGCCTTGATTCACGGACCTAACATTCCAGGTTCCTATGCAATATTGCTCTTTACAGCATCAGACCTTGCTTCTATCACCAGTCACAACCACAATTGTGTGTTGTTTTTGCTTTGGCTCCATCTCTTCATTCTTTCTGGAGTTATTTCTCCACTGATCTCCAGTAGCATATTGGGCACCTACCGACCTGGGGAGTTCATCTTTTAGTGTCCTATCTTTTTGCCTTCTCATATTGTTCATGGGGTTCTCAAGATAAGAATATTTAAGTGGTTTGCCATTCTTTTCTCCAGTGGACCACATTTTGTCAGAGCTTTCCAAAGTAGTTACACATGGAATTCCTTGGGGTTCACAGGTTAGGACTTCCACTGTTAAGTGCCTGGCTGCTCAGATACTTCATTGTGTTTACCGTGGTTTCCTAATGCCTAAAGGTGGTGAAGCACATTTTAAAATGTTTACTGTGCAGACTTCCTTGGTGGTCCAGTGTTTAAGAACCCACCTTGCAATGCACTGGACATGATTTTGATCCCTGGTCAAGGAATTAAGATTCCAAATGTGCAGGGCAACTAAGCCCGCAGGCCATATCTACTGAGCCCTCATGATCTAGAGCCTGTGATCCACAAAAGGGAATTCCTCCTGCAACAAAGACTGGCATGTAAAAAAAAAAAAAATTGATGGCCATTTGAATATTATTTTATCACTGGTTATTTTGTAGATTTTAATATGACTTGCATGTGAAAGCTTGTTTTCACCCCTACAGCCAGCCTCTTTCATCGACTCTGACGTCAGTCTTCTCACTGGCCTCTGTTTCTGTGTCCTTTCTCCCTCCCATAGACTCAACAGCCAGAGGGACTGCAGGGTCAAAGGGTATGTGACTGCACGAGCTGGGGAGGAATAGTGCCAGGTTTTTGCCAAAACAACAGCACCAGTTTACATCTCACCTGGATTATACCAGTGTCCCATGGATGCAGATCCTCTCTCCTTGTTGGTAAATTCAGACACCCTATTTCCTGGTGAGTAGAGATATCCAGTTGGGGTCTTGATTTCCACTTCCTTATCATGAATGGTGAACATGACTATTTGTTACATTTCCTCTGTGTGAAACTTTATGAGGAAGGAAGACAGTGGAATTGGGCAGCAGGCAATGGTGAACCAAAATGACCCATCAGAGTGGTCCTGAATTGGGCTAAAGTGGCTGAGGCTGACATCCCACCTGGATCTGTCTTAGGATCAGTTGCCCTTGTGCAGGCAGCTCTGCAGCTCAGACCACCCCTCCTTCCTTGAAGGTGCATCTGGGAGACATTTTCCAGGGTCCACCCTCAAGGCAGATTGGAAGAGCCCTGGGTGAGAGCTGAGACCAGTCCTGCATTGGCCACTTTCCAGCTGAGTGACTTCAGGCAAGTCCTTCCCTTCCCAGAGCCCCTCATCCTACCAGGTATTAGGGGCTAAGATAATGGCCCCTAGTGACCTGTTTACAGTGCTCAGCAGTCCACCAGGGGTTCTGTGCCCCTCACCTCACAACAACCTTGCATGCATGTGTGCTAAGTAGCTTCAGTTTGAGGCCACAGTAGGCAAGGTGAGAGCAGGACACCTGTTGCAAGCAGGTTTCATATTGGGACCAGGATTCTAGAAAGGTCTCTAACCTCTGATATGAACCTCATCTGTATAAGGAAGTCACTGTCAGTTACATTGAGATATTGCATGTATAGCATCCACTCAAAGCCCAGCACAAAGTAGGTAATCACTGAACAGTTTGCTGTGGGGTCACCAAGACAGATGCCCAGTCCAACCCTGAGGCATCCACTGCCCTTCTATCTGGCCCATGACCTGCTCCAGCTCAAGCACCTTTCAGGGCTCCTCCCAACCTGAAGATGAATTCCTGACCCCTGGACTGGACGGACAGTAGTTCCTCCAGACAGCAGGCCGGGTATCCTCAGGGACCCTATCTGCCCTGTTCCCTCTCTATCTCAATAGAACTTTGCTGCACAAAGGCCTAAACCTCAGCCTCCTGTTCCCTAAACCTCACCTTGACCCTGACCCTCACCAGGAAGTCTTGCCCACATGTGCTCTGCCCTCTCCTCCTCTCTGCCTTGGCTCTCTCAGCAGCTCCCATGTTCCCACCTCTGCCTCCTCCTGATCTCTAGCAAAGCCCAGTCCTCCTGAGAGGGTGAGGTTGGGTCAGGCCAGGTGGTTGCTGATAGATCTGTGCTGGCTGACCTTTGTCCCAATTGTTGTCACCATCCAGCAGTGTCACCAGGCAGGGCCCCAACAGGCTATGTGTTTCCTGTGAGTAATGATGTCTGAGAACAAAGGGCAGCCTGATTTCAGGAGGACACTCCTGCAGACCTCTGAGCCTCTTTACCACAGTTAGAGAGCCTGTGCTCCTACCTCTACCTATGCTCCTCGGGCTATCTGAGTTGGCCTGTGTGTTGGTGGAAGATCTTCCCATAAGGGCAAGGACACTCAGGCAGATTAGGATGATCATGGGGTGTCAGGGAGCAGGTGCTGTATAGTACTGGACCCTTGCTGTGAAGCTCCTGGACCTCTGTATCCTTGGGGAGGCCGACTGTGTAACAAACACCTCAGTGTCAGTGCTGAACACATGAAAGGATATTTCTGTCCACACTAAGTCCAGTGTGGATGTTCCTAATAGGGTACCTCTGTAGGCAGCCTTCCTCTCAGATCAGGCTCTCTGCTCTTAACTTGTTTGATTGAGGTCTTCAATGTGTGGCCTCCAAGGCTGCAGTGAAAGAGGGGTATCTCTTTCCCTCTGGCCCAGCCAATCTGTCCCCATTCCCCATCCAGGTGCCCTAAGTCTGATGGCACCTTGTACTGCATCCCAGCCAGGCCTGGGTTCACAGCCATGATTCCTACCTCTGACCTGTGCTCACACCTTTGCCCCACCTGGGGCCCTGCTGTGTGGGCATCTCAGCCGGTGTCCTTCAGGCAGACAGCCTCCTGCAACCCCACAGTGTTGAGGTTGCCCAGTCCATTCTCTGAGGGCTCATTGGCTGTCACTGTGGTAGTGCCTGCAAGATGCCTGCAATGACTTCACCTCCAGGTGTCACACCCTCCTATGGAGGAGAGTGGACTGGGCTTAGGGCCTCCGGTCAAACAAATAGAAATAAGGCAGGTTTGATGGTGAGTGACTCAGGGTCTAGGTACTAGAAGGCAGTAGTGCTTCTCTCTCTGTCTAGGGCTCCCTCTTAGTCTCTCTCTCCTTGGTGACTGGCTTACTCCGGGGAATCCTGGTGAGTGTCATTTAGCAGCGTGATGGAGAGGCCCACCTGCAGGGCTCTGAAGCCTTCTGCCAGCAGACACTTGGGAGAGCTTGGGAGTGACTCCCCACTCTAGGCTTTGAAACTGTACCTGCTGGAGCAGGTCGGCTGCCTCCTCCTGAGTGAGAGGGAACCCCTAGGTGCTTCCAACTCTCTGGTAACAAACTTGACCTATCATCAGTCATGGATCTTTCACACCAAACCTCCCTACAAGAGAGATAACTAACTTTGAATCAGGCAGTGGATTGGGAGAGCAGGGTTTTAGTTTGAAGGTGGTGGGTGTGCAGGGCTTGGCCAAGGAGGTGACCTTTGGATGATCAAATTGAGAAGACAGAGCATCCTGGTCCCAAGAGATCAGCAGGTACCAAGACACAGCAGGTGGGAGAGCTGAAAGAGGGAGAAGAACCACCCAGCCATCCACAAAGATGTGGACTTAATAAATCCTTACTGCCTTCAGCTACTAAGGTCTGAAGTGGTTCAATACCAGCAGTAGAAAACTGCAGTGGGCAGGTACTTCTTTCCTGGAAAATCTAGCCCTTTCTTAATGGCCCTGCTTACCTGCCACTTCCTCCCTCTTCCCTTGATGGAAACCATCACTTCCCCTCTCAACCCCACTGCACTTGATTCCCCCCTCTCTTGGGACCCTATAGCTCCCACCTCCCAGGGTCAGAACAGGCCATCAAGAGATGCTAAGTACATTTATGGCCTGCCTGCTAATTACTCCTACTCCCCAGCACTCCTCACAGAATGTGGAATGGTTAACCATCTCATATTATCTACTCCACTCACAAACCCAAGTTAGCTACTGTAATTCTTATTTCCCTGATAACAAACCTGAGGTTGAAAGGGGATGGGTCTTGCCCAGGGTCACTGAATGTAAATTTACATCCACAGAATTTCTCCCCACTCCCCCCACCCCCAACACCCCATTTGCACTTATTGCTGTGATTAGCTTCTGGAGGGAAAAGAACTTGCTTTCCCACTTCAGATGTGGGCGTTCATAGTACTGGTCCTACCCTACCATCCTGTCCAATCACTCATGACACATATCCCAGAGCCAGTGACCCAGAATTTTCCTTATCAGAGGCTTGTCCCCTACTGCCCTGCTTGCAGACACTAACCATTCACTCCTCATGTTCTTTCTCTGGCTGGTCTGCCCTGTGTCTGTACACCGCCTCCCCCTTGTCTCCCACAGAACAGGCCAGAGGTGATAAGTTGGAGCTGATGGGTCAGGGAGGAAGAAGTAACATGCCATTCTCTGGCCCATCCATCCGATCCACCATCTGGGAAGAGGACACGGAGCAGCAGGGCTGCAGGGCCAGGTTGGGACAAAAATGGGAGACTTTGACCAGTGTTCCCAGTTGGGGAGTAGGGTAAGAGAAGAGAAGAAGGCTGAAACAGAATTTTGTAATTGATGAGTTGACATTTATGGAGCTCCCTTCTGTGTCAAAGTCAGGGCTGAAGTTACAAAGGAGGAGTCGCAGCTAACTCATGGAGCTCTCAGTCAATGTGACATCACAGCTGAGGTCAGAGGTTATCTTAGTCCTTGGGGGAAACTGAAACTCAGAGGGAGGGTAAAGAGGTCTGCCATGGTCATTTAGCCAGTGATAAAGCCACAGTCTCCTTCCCCACTTCCCGGCCTCTCTGGCTGCTACTCTGGGGCTCAGAGGATCCAGAAATTCAAAAGTGCCAGAATAAGTCAGGGGGTTGTGGCCTCGCCCTCCTCTTCATCTCAGGGAGGGAGGAGCTGGGACAGGCAGGATGCCAGATGAGGGAGCTTGTAGGAGAAAGGGCTGCAGCTGGGGGCTGCATCTGTGCTGTCACTCAAGGCAGAGGAAGAGCAACCTGCTAACTGGAGCTGTTCTTGTCCTGCCCGTTGAGTGACAGGACCACAGAGGACAGAGACACCACACATCATCCTCTCCCATTTCTCAGGTGGGCAGAATGAAGGAGAGGGCCCACTACAGAAGAGTCAGTGCAGGAGGGCAAATCACCTATGCCAGAGTCTGGTCTCCTCTGCCATGGAGCCAGCTGTGACCCAAGGCCTGGCACAGGGTGGAGGTGCAGGAGTCAGTGAAGGCTCTGGAGATGTGTTCAACAGACACCTCCAGGAAGCCTTCTGGGATCACAGAATCTTCCTTCATCCTCCCTAATGCCAGCCCTGCCCTTTGGAGGAGCCCCTCCTCTGGGGAGGCACTCAACAGATCTCCAAGTGTTGGTCTCTGGGGACGTTGTACTTGAGCTTGTGGGCTTCGAAGAGGTTTTCCAGCTCCTGCATGTAGCGCTGGTGCATCCTGTCCACCTCCTCCTGGGAGGGATGTGGTGTCTTCTGCACCTCGATGGGCTTCCCCACTGCAAGACACAGAGGTGCGTGGTGGCTCATAGCTGGATCCTATGAAGGCGCAGGGACCTTGGTGTTCCCACTACAATGGTCATCTGAGCAGGTAAGCACTCTTTCTCCTTCCCTTTCAATTTTATTTTGGGTCATAGATTCTAAGATGTTAGGGCAACTCCAAGATTCTGATATATTAACAATATCACCAGCTGGTGTTTTAATGCATTATCTCTTAGGTCATCCTAACAATCCTAAGAAGATAGAACCTGCTAGTATTCCTATTTGACAGCTGAGGCATTGAGACTCCAGGAGGTTGAGTAAATTGGTCAGGGTCAACTAAGAAGAACCAGTGACTGGTTATAAGCCCTGAGGATGTGCTCTTAGCCTCATGGACACGTGGATCTGGGAGTCTCAGATGCCATGAGTGGAAGTGTCTGTATGTCTGGGAGGAGGTGGCCCACAGCCCAAGTGCCTTCTACCTCCTCTCCCTCCACAGTGTCCTACAGTGCTCCCCATTCTAGGGAGGACATGGGAGGACCTATCAACCTCCTTCCTCAAGTTCTGCCAGGCTCAGAAAGCACCTGTCCTGTCTTCTCTTGAAAAATGGTTCTGGAGGCATCAGTTGTGAATTATATTCATGAAAATATTAGCAGACAACTGAGGGAAAGTCATGGTGTAGAGGGTTGGCCAAGTCTGTACTCAACTAAGAGATGACTGGGTGAGTGGAGATGAAAAGACCTCACTTTACAAGCTTTGCCACTGAAACCTAGTTGGAATCCAAGACGAAAGCAAATGAGACAATCAAATAGCTGAAAAGATGGTGCTAAGTCCATGCACTAAGGCCCATGCCCATTAATTACAGGGAAATCCCTCAGGCTCTCCTTCACAGCCTGCTGATTGCTACTTTACACACAATTCTAACAGACCTGGAACACCCTTCCCTGGTATCCACTTTTCCAATAAGCCTTACAAGATCCTTCTGTCAGAATTAAACCCTCTTCTCTGGCATCATAAAAATTCAAATAGACCCTGATCAAACCTCAACTTTGTATCAAGGACAGGGTTATCTTTTGGAAGTGATTTACCTTCTCTGAGTCTCAGTTTGCCATTAGTAAAATGGTGATAATAATCACTGCCTACAAGGTTGTTGGGAAAACTAAGCTGCTGCATGTAAGTAGTCAGTGCAGTACCTGACACACAGCAGGTGCCCAGTAATCAGTAGTGGTGACTGTTTTTCTTTTGTCTTGGTTAGATTTCCCATCCCAGACTTCCTTTCATCAGGGTTATTTGCCTGTGTGTCTGTTTCACGCTCTGGAACGTGAACTCCCTGAAAGTTAATGATGTCTTCGGCTCATGTCTAGTCCCCTTTGCAACACCAGCCTGAGCCCCTTGCTGTGTAGCCCTTTCCTCTCCCAGCCCGAGTCTAGGCTCACCCACGGTGGTGATGGGTCGGCGGTAGGGCATAAGACCAAAGCTGTCCTGGAAGACTCCACAGCCATAGAAGAGTGGGATGGAGACTCTTATGATCTTCTGAAGCCGGTCCTGGAACCAGCGCACCCAGGAGCCACGGGAGTTCTCAACCTGCTTGAATATGTCATTCTCCCCAAAGGAGAAGATAGGTACCAGAGCTGCCCTAGAGGAGACAGGAGAGAGAGAGTGTGTAGGGGCAAGAAGGCACAAGCTGGTCCCCTAGCCTCCTTGAAGGGACCTAGTGAGCAGGAACTGGGGCAGAGCACAGAGCCCTGGGACAAAAGTAGGAGGCCTCGGGTGTCCTCCAGACCTGCCTTGGCCTTGCTTTGTGATTTTAGGCAGGTCATGGCTCCTCTCTGGACCATGGCTTCCCAGTTGCACCATGACAAGAGAACAGAATGCTTCAGAGAGCCCTTCCAGGTATAAAACATGCAAACTTCCTGGAAAAATTTCTTCTTCCCCAGTTACCTTGTATTCTTCACAGATGCTTCAAGGTAAAAGAACAGCTCTAAGCTATGCCCCAAACACCATTCTCCTAGAAGCCCTAGACACAGATGTAATGCAAGTTTTCAGTAATATGACCCTTGACCTTATTCCCTTTAATCACCAAATCTCCCTTCTAGAATCTTCTCTGGCTATTTGGGAATGAAACATTACATCAATCACCAACACAGAATCTTCACTGTCCATGGATTGTGACTCTCCTTGCCAAAATAGGATGTGTATTCATCTGTGCTGTCTTCCCACCAAAGCACAATCCTTGCCAATCTCCAGTTGAACCCAGAGCCCTCTCCCCAATACCCGTGCGTCAGGGCGAGCCTGATGAAGCCCTTGCGGTTTCGCAGCACCAGCTTGTAGGCTCCAGGCCTGGCATCCAGTGCCTCCTGGACGCCCCCAACAATTATGGCCATGAGGTTGCCGCCTTCTTTCCTGCTCAGAATGTGAGCAGCGCTCTCCTTGTCTACTGGGACCAGCCCTGGGGAGAGAGAAAGGTGGTTAGGTATAGGGTGAAGGGGCAGGGACCGTGGGCAGAGATGTGGGCTGGGCTCCACTCCAGTTCCCAATCGTGAGTTCCCTGAGGACTGGGACTGAGCCCTTCAGGTCTTCCCAACCCCCAACTGAGTGTATCACTGAGCACAGAGCTGTGGGAAGTGCTTCCTTGAATCTAGCTTCCTTCTTCACCACACATTCACTTGGAAGGAGTATAGAACTCTTGACAGCCCTCTGTAAAATCCCTCCTCCGTGCCTGCAGCCCTCACCCAGCTGGGTTACCCAGAGTTGGGAAAACTCACCCCCTGACATGATGTAATCCCTGAAGAAAGGAGACCAGAACCACAAGTTCAGCATCATCAGATGTGGGCGGATGCCAGGGAACAGTGAGGAAAAACCGGTGCTCTCTGTGCACAGGTTGGTAAAAGCTCCAGTGGCCAGAATCCCATGGGGGTGGAAACCAGCGAGGTAGTTCCGGGAGGGGTCCAGATAGGCAGTCTTGACCAGCTGCAGGGACAGCAACCTGCTGAAGTGGAGCTGCACCTCATACCCTCCCCCATTCTGCCAGCACCAGAGTGACCGTGGGTAACTTGCTCCTCCTCTCTGAGCCTCCAGTTCTTAGGAAGATGGAGATATGTATGTGACTGCACCCAGGGAGATCCTGTTGCTATCTATGTCTCAGACTTGCTGTGAGCTTCAGACAAATTGTCTCCCTCTCCAGCTTTCAATGTATTAAATGTGGACATTTGACCCTGTCCTGCCTACATTCTGCTGAGAATCTCAGGCCCGTGAGTTCCCTGGAATTACCAAGACTACGGGACAGGATAATCATACTTTGGCATAGTTCATACACCATCAAGGGCCACACAGGGCTGCCACTCAAATAGTCCTGTTCTAACAAAATTCCCTATGAGAAAACTCAGCACTTAGGACCTGGGAGTGAGAATTTGCTAGCTATATCAGGGTGGTTGAAAGAGTTTGCAGAGCTGGAGGCTGGCCTTAGTCCTGTTTACCCCTCTGTACAATGCAAGTGTCTCTCTGATGGCTCTCTGTTCCCCCTGTGTCAGACCTTCATTACCATCTATCCACCTCTTCCCCTGGCTATTGGCAGCTCTTCCCAGGTCTGGTCGGTCCTGCAGCACAGAGGGTGCACCAGAAACCACCAGACATTGTAGAAGGAGAGGGAAAGGAGAGCTGTTCATCACTAGCAGCTTCCAGGCAACGTGGGGTGAAGACAGAGGGGGCAGAACTGAGTTAACAGATGTTGCTCCTGGACTTCCCTGGTGGTCCAGTGGTTAAGAATCTGCCTGCCAGTGCAGGGGACATGCGTTCGATTCCTGGTCCGGGAAGATTCCACATGCTGTGGTGCAACTAAGCCTATGTGCCATGACTACTGAGCCCACAAGCCACAACCACTGAAGCCCGTGTGCCTAGAGCTCATGCCACACAAGAGAAGTCGCCACAGTGAGAGAGCCACGCACCGCGATGAAGACTAATCCCCGCTATCCGCAACTAGAGAAAGCCCACACACAGCAACAAAGATTCAGCACAACCAAAAATAAAATAATTTTTTAAAAATGCTGCTCCCACCAGTTACTGGAGAGGCTTCAATGTGCAAAGATAACTGCCCATGATTCTGTGTGTGACCAACCCCTTTCCCACTCTGCCAGGAACTGCAGGGTCCACCCCTTACAGAGCCCTGTGCTCTGGGTGGCACAGCCTTTAGAGTCAGAGGCCCTGAGGCCCCTGACCCAAGCCCTAAGCCCCTGGCAGGAAGCTCCCTGACAAGACTACCCAGGCCTTGTAATTTGCACTTCCAGGCACGGGCAGTCCGTTCCACTTAGGCTCAGCTTTGGCACCATGAAAGATCATCTAGTTAACAAGCTGAAATTTTTCAGCATTGGCTCTGAGGATTCTTGTTACCTTCAGGCCCCAGAGGCCTGGCTGCCCATCTCAGAGCAGCCTGGAGGGACCCAAGAGATAGCATTGGAGGCGGACCCAAGGGATGCATTGGAAGTCTGAGCCTGTCTGCCCTACCACAGCGGAACAGTACCAGCTTGTCCTGTCCTTGATCTGACTGGATCTCTGCAAACTCCCTCTGATCACTGTAGTGATCAACCTCTCCCTCTGGTTACCCTTCACCCTTTGCAGAAAGTCTGAGGGGACCTTAGATAGAGGGACCACTGCTTCACAGAAAAAGGCAAACTTCTTTCACTCATACAGAGGGAATTTATTGAGTGTGAAAATAAGGTCAAGCAGAGATATTCTGGTTATTCTCATTGGGAAAGGTGTTCCCTTAGGAATCCATCTCAGCATGTTTCTTTAAAAACATATCTGACTCCCCACACTGAAGTACTTGATTATGAATTCTCTTTCTCAGCTAGTAGAAAAATAATTTTGTTACAACCCCCTTAAAGGCAATGAAGCAATATCTATTGGTATTAAAATGGAAAAATGTAACTGACCTTTTAAGCCAGCAATTCCACTGCTGAGGAATTTAGCTACAGAATTTCTCACACTTGTGCAAAATGGCATCTGAACAAGATTATTAACTGAAGCTTTTTTTTCCCCCTTTGGTAATACCAAAACTTGGCATCCAGTCAAATGTCCATCAACAGGGCCTGTTTAGACAAATTACAAAATACTTCCTTGTGGGCCACTGTGTAGACATAGGGACATACAATGCAATTCTTCCTGTCCTGATAGGGGAAGACAGCCACGATCACTCATCAGGTGGAAAAGCAAAGGGCAAGACCATGTAAGCAGAATGTCACCAGCTGTGACGGGAGAACAGCAAATGGAGACTGGTCCTCCTGGGGGAATATGCCTGATTCTCCATTAGCTCTTCAGGAAGCCCAAATGTTGCACTTAGAAAGATCCAATGCTCAGAAATATAATAGTTTCCCAACTTTGCTTGAAATTCCACCGATAGACCCTAGCTCATAAAATGAGTGAGAGCTGAAGGCAGCCCAGAAACACAAGCTCATTTGATACAGAGTACAGAGGCTTATGAATGGGGAGGTGGGGGAGCTCCAGTCGAGTGCGGACTCCTTACCTGGGACCCCCTACCTTCTAGCCACCGTAAGATCCCTTTCAGCCCTGTGCTGTAGAAGTGTGTGGAAGAGTTGGAGGGTCTCCCGGGAAGTGCAGGGATCCAGAATCTGGGCCATAGCCCCACCCCTGCAGGCTCCCAGGCCTGGACAAGCAAGTTAAAGTGCTCATCATCCAGCCCTCTGCTGGCCACTAGGTGGTACTGCTCGCCTTCTGCAGGTTGTGATGCCAAAGGCCTGAAGTAGGCAAGAATCCTGAACACTGTGCAGGTAGAATTTCTGAAAGTGTCCAGTGTCCCACCATTGTCAGTGGTGTCACAGTTGAGAAATCTTCTCTGGGGGAGAAGCAGGAGGATGGTGAATAAGACAGGCCCAGAATCATTTTCTGCAACTGGCAGAAACTCCAGGTGCAAAGAGAGTCAGATATGTCTTTGGAAGCCCCAGGATAGCAGGAAGACAGCCCGCTGGAGAGCTTTCAGTTGAAGACTTCATTTCTGTGGAATAGGCTGTACTAGTCTCCCTTACATGTGCGTGCTAAGTTGCTTCCGTCGTGTCCGACTCTTTGCGACCCCATGGACTGGAGCCCACCAGTCCTCTATACATGGGATTCTTCAGGCAAAAATACTGAAGTGAATTGCCATGCCCTCCTACAGGGATCTTTCTGATTCAAGGATCGAACCCCCCAAAAAAAGGATCGAACCCACATCTTTTGCATCTCCTGTATTGGCAGGCAGGTTCTTTACCACTAGCGCCACCTGGGAAGCCCACTGGTCTCTCTTATCTTATCCCTAAAAACCTCTCCAACTTCATCCCCAGTGTACCTTCAGCTTTAGTCACACTAATGCTCAGAAACCATGCCCTGGCCGCTTCTGGGCCTGCACTTGCACTGTTCCCTTTGCAGGCCACCTTTCCTTCCCTGCTGGACTTGGGATTCAGCTCACAGTGTGGAGTGAGACCACAGGGACAGAATCCACAAAGAAAGCCAGAAAGCTCTACTTGAGGCCAGAAACTGCTTATGGCTTTTCCTTGGCTTGCTGGCTGATGTCACAACACTTCCCCATGGAAACTCTGACCTTCCTGGCATGGAAGAGTAAGCCCTGGTCTAGGAAGAAGAGAGGGAGAGATGGGAATTCAGAATCTCAAAGTTAAGAGATTCTGGGGTGAGGATGAGGGGCTCTGCCTGTGGCAGGCCCATGGCTCCTCTAGGGCCCCAGCAAACCCTACCAGCTTCTACTGACAAGGTCCTGGGAAGTCACCCTGCAGAGGAAGCAGATATGGGGTCTGGGAAGACCACCCCCCAACCTGGTCCCTTCAGGTTGGCTCAGCACTGTCCACTCACTCTCCTGTTTCCAGAGGAGGGACACCTGTCCCTGCTTATACCTCTCTGTGTCCCTATCACCTTCCCCATTCTATCTGGTCAATAAATCATCCTCGCCCAGCTGCTTACATCCAAGACTTTAGTCTGTCTGGGATTCAGAAAAGGAGTCATAGGTCAGTTCATTCAAATCAAGGATCCTGTTCCACTCAAGTCTGAACTTTGGGTCCAGGGTCAAGTGTCCAAATGGCCATCAGGTGCCCTGAGTCAGAAAGTCAGAGATTCAAAAGCACTCAGGTGTCAGGGATTGGTGTGATCACTGGATACATTTGTAAATGTCCATTACTCACCGAGATGGGGAAATAGTCCTTCATGTACCTCCATATGACGCAGCGCCTTAAGGCCTCAATGCGCCTGCCCCCCTGCCATGGCTTGGATAGATCCAGGTACCACCAGACTGCATACAGGACACTGAAGATCCAGAATCTTGTGAACAGGAGGCCTATGAAGACAGCAATGCAGATCTGGGCTGGGAACAGAAGCAGGAAGATAAGTGATCAGAGGAATGAAGGAACAAGCTCTCCTCCTACAACTAGCAGCACTGTCCTGTCCAGCCCTCATCCCAGGAGGAAGGGGTGAGACTCTCTTGACTTCAAGGAGAAAGAATGCAGCCTGTCCAGTGTCACACTGGGAGCCTGGATTTGAAGCCAAGTAGACCCAACTCCAAACTAAGTTTTTCCCACTGTACCAGGCTGCTTATTTGTTCCAGTTTTACCCCTCCACCCCCATCTCTGTCCAGTTAAGTAGCCTGTATTCACTGGGTGCTCAATAAATGCCTTGGAGAGAAGTGACTAGATTAACACTTTCTAATGTACACCCTTCAGGACCCCAAAGAAAAAGGAGACATGCTTTCTACCACGCCCTTTGCTGCTGAAGGGAGGAAGGAAGAGGCCAACCTGTGGCTGGCCCATGGGTCAAGGATGCAGCATGGTTATGACCTGGTCAAGTGAGGAAATACCTTCTTACCTACAATTCCCAGTCCCTTGCTGCAGGCTAATCTTGGCTTCATCTCAGGGTCAGGATGTCTGAGGGGCTGACCCTAACCTAATGCCAACGGAGCATCATTCTCAGAGAATATTTCTCCCACCCCATCCCATTCCTTCTACTCAATACCATGCACTCACACTCTTAAAATTGTCAGCTTCCAGTTGTACTGAACGTGAAAGAGAGTAGATTGGGTCTGTCATTCCTGGCCGGCTTCCAGGAAGAGGGGACTTTTGACCCAGTCTGAACAGTAGTAAAATTCATAAACCAGAGAAAATAGGTTGGAGCTCACAGAACACTGAACACCTATAATATGACAGGCATTGGTGGTTCAGTCATGAACAACAGACAGAAATCCCTGCCTTCATGGAGCTGACTTTCCACATTGTTGTATTTAGGGCACTTTGTTTTGTTTATTAAATTTCTATGGTAAAAAATATATAACTTATGCTTTGTCATCTGAACCATTTTTAAGTGTACAGCTCAGTGACACTACATTCATTCACATGAGAATGTTGATTGGCAGGGGCTAAGGGAGGGAGACATGGGAGTTTTTGTTTAATGGGTACAGAGGTTCAGTTTGGGAAAATGAAGAGTTCTAAAAATGGATAATCACGACAGTCAATGTGAATGAATGTCGTGTCACTGAGCTGTACACTTAAAAATGGTTCAGATGACAAAGTGTAAGTTATATATATTTTACACCACACCTTCAAATGCAGGGGGAGTGTGAGTTTAATCTCTGGTCAGGGAGCTAAGATTCCACATGCCTCAGGGGCTAAAAATCCAAAAAACTTAAAATGGAAGCAATATTGTAACAAATTCAATAAAGACTTTAAATTGTCAACATTAAAAAAAAAAGAAAAACTTAAGAGAACTGCTTATAGAGAATAAAACTGAGTTGTTAACAGTGGCTCCCTGGAATGAATTCCCTGGCAATCCAGTGGTTAGGACTCTGTGCTTTTACTGCTGCTTTCATATAAGCCGTGCTGCTAGAGGCCAAAAAAAAAAAAAAAAATTATATATATATATACATATGTATACATATATATATACATATGTATACATACATACATATGTGTGTGTGTATATATATATATATATGTATATATATATATAGTGGATTTGGGGAAGTCTTTGACTTGTAGGATACACATTCTGTTTGGATGTGTCACAACAGCACATGCTGGTTTTTGCAATTAACTTGGCACGTTAAGGTTAGGAAAAACCCACTCAAGAGGCCCTTGCACTTAGAAAGAACTTCCTACCATCCTCATCACCCTTAACTCCTGTCAGCAGGCAAAACCAAACTTGGGGATCTTTTCAGTCCCTAAGGGAGACCTCTACCTTCCCCTCATAACACCAAGAAGGAAAAATGTAAAACCCCACTTTATAGAGGCCCAGAGAGGGTATGCAAATTGGCTGAGCCCACACAGCAAGTTAGTCAGATGGGACAAGACATTCATCAACAAATGTCCGTGGACACCAACTCTTCTAGGAGCTGGAGATTCAGCTGAGAACAAGACCAACTGTTTGAGAGGAGCTTACCTTCCTGTGTGAGTGTGTGAATTAAGGAAAAAAGAAGAGTAAACAAGTAACCCACTGGAAAGTGTTTGTTTCTGGGCCTTGAGTCCTTGGTGACACGTCCTTGTTTACCTTTCTGGCTACTTCTTTGCCTCTCCCCCAAATGCCTGCTCTATGTCCAGTGTGAACCGGCTGTTCACCGTATGTCCAGCATTTATTGGCCCACTGGAACCCCTTTCTTTTCCTGCCAGCCTATAAACCCTGCCCTGTGACCCATCTCCTGAGTGTCTTTGGAAGCGGTCCCTTCTTTCCACCCACTGGAAGCCTCCCTAGATCTAGGTAAGGAATCTTTATTAAGAGCCAGATTGAAAATATTTTGTATACTTTGTGGCTCTATGGGGCAACTTGGAGGATATTACTTAGGCCCATAATCATTTAAATTATGCAAGAATTTAAAATGTAAAAACTATTCTTGGGCTGTACAAGTGCAAAAAAAACAGTGGGCTGGATTTGACCCATACCACATAATCTGGGGACCCCTGATATAGCTTAGACATCTAAGGCACTCACTTTCCCCCTATATATACTCCCTGCCAGCAGTCTACCCCTGTACTCCAAACACAGCAGATCCATAGGCTTCAAGCACTGGGACCAGTACTGCACAGACTGAACCTTGTGCCTCCCTTTGGAAAGCATTCCTGGGGCTCCCCTTTTTCCCCAGGATAAGGGACAAGGTACAAGCTCCTGCTCCCGGCACCAGCTGGCCCAGATCTCTCTTCTCAACTGTCCTCCTTCTAGCTCCAGGCCGAGGGCTACTCAACCTCCCTGTGCTCTTCCTGATGTTCCCAGGTCCTGGGCTGAGCTGGGGGTGGATGAGGGCAGACAGATACACTCGTGCTGGCAAAGCTGCACCAAGGCCAGGTGAGCAAGATGTCCCTCATCCTCCCACCCCCACTCCCGCACAGTGACCCTCAGTCATCAGCCTACCTGGTTCTGGGCCCCCAGAATCCTTCATCCAGGAGCCAAGGGACTTGTCCCCTGCCCTGGGGTAGCCCTCCCCTCCCACACCTCAGCCCTGTCTCCTCCCTTTGCTTCCTTCCCTTTCGTCCTTTGGCAGCACAGGAGCCCAGACCTACAGCCTTGCACATCTAAGGCACTCAGCTTCCCTGCTCATCTGTGTAATGGGGGTAACTAGGGACATTTAAAATGTTTCAACAACCTCTAGAGCAGAGACACAAGTCAGTCATCAAGGATGCCAGCGGTAGAGAACTGGGTTTCTTGCTTTCCTGGGGATAAACGCTTTAGCTGCAAAATTTTAGGGAAGTTCTGAGGGAGGACACGGGGTAATATTTAAGGTACATGCATGCATGTGTGTATGCATGTTTGTTTGTGAGTATGTGAAATGGCTACTGACCATTTCAGAGCCTGTACAGAATATGTCCATATTTTAACCCCAGTCTAGTAGGGTCTGTCCACAGGCTGAATACTAGCCCTGGGGGGAGCTGTTCCTAACTAGTATGGTGCCAGCAGATGAGATGGAGAATCCTATGGTCTCCAGTCCCCCCAGCCCAGCCCGCCTTACCCAGGACCACAAAGGAGAAAATCCACTGCAGAACCACAAAGGTCTGCAGTCTGCGCTCCCACGGCACGGACAAGGGTGCAAACTTCACCATGCTGTCTCCTTGGTTGATTCCACACGTTTCTCTGAGCTCTGCTGTGGTCTGAGGCACCTACTGGTTTTTGTTGCTGCCAGAGGTTGAGTAAGCATTAGTGGTCAGGGAGGAGGGTGCCACACCCCACCTGGCCCAGCCTATGGTTCCCTGCCCTCACCCTGGCAGGAATCTGTTTCCTAGGAGAACCTTTGAACCCACCTGCCCTGGAGTCAGCTAAAGGAAGGAGGAAGGGAAGGACATTTGCCTCCTCAGGCAATACCTTATTTTCCAGATAGCTTTCTCTTTTTGCTTGAATCTTGTCCTCCACTTGACAGGTCAAGCGCTAAGTATAGGGCAATTCTGTCCTCCACATCTACCCAGTGACTTGGCTGCAGTAGCTGTCTCCCCTCTTCTTCCATGTCCACTGTTCCCCTCCACAAATATACAGTAACAGCTCCTGTCCTGTGGAACTGCCCTTGACAAGTTCACCAGTGGCCTCCACACTGCTGAATCCAATGGTCAATTCTCAGCCCTCATCTTGACCTCTCAGCAGCCTCAGACACAGTTGGTCCCTCCCTCCTCCTCGAAACCACTTGGCCTGTGGACACGACACTCACCTGGTTTCCCCCCTGCTCCTCTGGCTGTCCCTGGGTCTCCATGGTGGCTCTTATTCCTCACCAGGCTAAGTGTTTGAGGGCCCTCCTGTCCCCTCTGTCCCTGGATCCTCCCTCCTCTCTCCCGCAGAGACTTCACCCAGGCTCATGGCCTTGGAGTCTGTCTACAGGACTAACTTCCAAACAGCATCTCCAGCCTGACTTTCCCCTGGGCTCCAGACTTGACTATGTAGGTGGGTTCTTGATATCCTCCCTGGTAGTCTGCTCAGCATCTCCTTCACAGCCTGTCTAAGACTGAACTTGATCTTCCCTCTCCCACCCAGGCCAGCTTTTCCTCTGCTCTTTGACATCTCAGGAAAGGGGACTCCAGTGACCTGGTTACACAGGCCAAAACCTTAGCATCACTCTAGACTCTTTCTGTCCCTCTCCATTCACCTCTCTCAGTCGGTTCTCCTAAACCTCTTCCTTTAAATGTGCACTTTGAACTGAAATGTATCAAACATACAGGAAAAGACACAAGTCCTAAGTATAGGAGTGATGCATTGTCCCAGAGTGAACGTACTGGTGTGATGTCCATTCTGATGGACAAATAGGACCTGACCAGCACCTGTGTCCTTGTCTGTCACTCTTCTCTTCCCCAAACCTCATACCAGCCTCGTCTGCTCTGAGATTTATAAGTGAGTCTCACAGAAAATATTCTTTTGAGACTGGTTCTTTGGCTAAAGATTATATTTCAAGAATCACCCAAATTGTGTATATTTGTAGTATGTTTTTTTTCATTGCTACATAAGACTTCACTGGGTGAATATATCATAATTCATCTGCTGGGGGACATGTAAGGTATTGCGTGAGTCTGGCTATTGTCAACTGTACTGCTATGAGCATTCTTTTCTGTTTTTTCCAAATTTTTTTTTTTTGAGAAAAGATTGACATACATCATTGTACAAGTTTAAGGTATACAGCATGATGGTTTGATTTAGATACATTGCGAATGATTACAATAGATTTCGTTAACATCCATTGTCTCACATAGTACAGTAAAAGGAAAGGGGAAAAAAATCTTTTGATGAGAATTTTGATCTACCGTCTTCACAGCTCTTTTACGTATCACACAGCAGGAGATGTGTTCTGTACCTGGCTTGTAGTGCACATTTATATACATTTGTGTTGAGTATGTGCCTGGAAATACAACAGCTGGGTCTTTTTGTATAAAGTCACATATCTCCCAAAGTGATTGTATAAATTTATACCCGCAAGCTTCACATGAGAATTCCAGTTGCTTCACATCCTCCTCAACATTTAATCAGTTGTAGTGAAGATGTGGGGACACTTTGTTGTGCTCACAGTGGCTTCCTCTGTGCCTAATGAGGTTGCCTAATGAGGCTGAGCATGTTTTAAAATGTTCACTGGCCCTTTGAATATCATTTTATCACAGGTTCACCCATGAGTCTTCCGTTGATTTAAATATCTCTTGCATAGGAAAGCTACACCCACAGCCAGCCTCTTTGATCACCTCTGATACTAGGGTTCTCACTGGCCTCTGTCTCTGTGTCCTTTCTCCCTCTCAACAGGCAGAGGGACTGCAGGGTCAAAGGGTATGTGACTGCACGAGCTGGGGAGGAGTAGTGCCAGGCTTTCCCCAAAACAGCAGCACCAGTTTACACCCCCGCCAGGAATGTATGTGAGATCATGTGGATGCTGGCCTCACGGTGTGGTCAGACTTACTATTGTTTGCTAGTGTTGGGTTGTTTGCCAGCTAGGGTTGGGATATTGGCATTTCCTTAATACGCATGTTGCACATGGCTTTAGTCATAGGAATTTCCTTTTCTTTGAAAAACTCATTCTTAATTTTCATCCATTCCTCTGCAGTGTTTTTTGTGCTTTTTTTTTAATGATAGAAACTAAATAAATGGAACGATTTATTTCATTTTCATGATTACAGGCATTACAGGGCAGGGTGAGTAAACAAGGGAAATAAAGCTTAACTCTTTTCTCCTCATCCCCCCATTCAACCAGATGCAGGATTTTGGCATTTTTATTATATACAGGTTGACTTAATTCATTGACTTAAGTTAAAAACTGGCAGCAGCAAATCTTTGTAATTTAGGATCTTCCTCCATAGTCTCTCCAAGAATTTGAATTCTTGAACTACACCATGAGCTCTGAAATGGTGTTCACCACAGCATTCATGAAGATTTCACATTTTAATATGAGATCTGATAACCCTTGTTAAGGTTGTTCAGTTGCTAAGTCTCGTCCAACTCTTTGCAAACCCATGGACTGCAGCACACTGGGCTTCCCTGTCCTTCACTATCTCCTGGAGTTTGCTCAAATCTGTGTCCATTGAGTGGTGATGCTATCTAACTATCTCATCCTCTGACCACCTCTTTTCCTCTTGCCTTCAATCTTTCCTAGCATCAAGGTCTTTTCCAATGAATCACTGTTTTCACATTTTCTCTATCTACCATGAAGTGATGGGACCATGAAGTGATTTGCCATGAAGTCATTGTTAACAAGATGGCAAAGTAAAAGGATGTGTGCTCATCTTCTCCTGTGTGTCAACTACAAATTGGCACCTGCCAAGAGCATTTGCTAGCTACTGAACAACAACAACAAAAGCATTTGCCATCTGGGTCTGTGGAGATTCAACCCTATGCTGCTGCAGCTGCTGACCTTCAATATCCACTGAGGGGAGTTCAGGGTGGAGAGTGAGGCACTCTGTGCTCTAGGGAAACTGATGGGGTAGATCTTTAAATCACTGGGTATTTTCAGGAACTGATTTCATGATCCCAATCCTTGCATCTCTTCATATTCAGAAAGTCACTCAATCCCTTCTTGGTGAACATCAGCTCCTCATGACTAGCAGAGAACCTTTTGTAAAGTAAGCATTGGTTTGCATTGAACTCCCCCTTTACCAAAATCTTATATATTGATCTTCCCCCCTCCTTTGAAGCAGTCTCTCAGAGCTATCTGAAATGCTGTCCCCCAGACTGTAGTTCTCATTTTGCCCCAAGTGAAACTTAACAACTTACAACTCTCACATTGTGCATCCTTTTGGTTAACATGTGAGAACACCCAGAATGCAACTAGTTGCTGAACAACCATTGACAGGAGTTGGAACCCACCAAAATAAGATACCCCACATCCCAGAACCAAGGAGAAACTGCAATGAGACAGTAGGAGGGGCACAATCACGTCAAAATCAAATCCCATACCCACTGAGTGGGCAACCCATAAGCTGGAGAACAATACCAAAAAAACTTTTACACTGTTGCAAAAGTTCTAGGCCCCCATCAGACTTTCTAATCTGGGGATCCCGCAAAGGGACTGGAATCCCCAGGAAATCTGACTTTGAAGGACAGTGGGATTTGATTGCAGAACTTCCACAGGACTGGGGAAAACAGACTCTTGAAGGGTGCCAACAAATCCTTGTGCATTCCAGGGCCCAGGAGAAAGGAGCAGTGACACCACAAGAGACGGAGTCAGACCTGCCTGTGAGTGTTAGAGGATCTCCTATGGAGGCATGGGTCAGCAGTGGCCTGCTGCTGGGATGGGGCACTGACAACAGCAGTCTTGGGAGGCACACGTTGGCATAAGTCCTTCTAAAGGTCACCTTTAGCCCTACCATAGAGCCTGTAGACTCCAGGACTGGGCAACCTCAGGCCAAAAAACTAACAGGGAGGAAGCATAGCCCCACCCATCAGCAGAAAATTGAATTAAAGATTTACTGAGCACGGTCCTGCACATCAGAGCAAGACCCAGTTTTCCCCACAGCTAGTCCCTCCTATCAGGAAGCCTGCACAAGCCTCTTATCCTCATCAAGAAGAGGGTAAACAGAAAAAGCAAGAACTACAATTCCACAGCCTCCAGAAAGAAAACCACAATCACAGAAAGCTAACCAAAATGAACACATGGATCACAGCCTTATGTAACTCAATGAAGCTATGAGCCACACCATGCACGGCCATCCAAGATAGACGGTTCATGGTGGAGAGTTCTGACCAAACATGGTCCACTGGAGAAGGGAATGGCAAACCACTTTAGTATTCTTGCCTTGAGAACCCCATTAACAGTATGAAAAGGCAAAAAGATGTGACACTGGAAGATGAGCCCCCACCCCACCCCCGGCCAGTAGGTGTCCAATATGCTACTGAGGAAGAGTGGAGAAATAGCTCCAGAAAGAATAAAAGAGGCTGGGCCAAAGTGGAAATGATGTTCAGTTGTGGATATGTCTGGTGGTGCCAGTAAAGTCTGATGCTGTAAAGAATAATATTGCACAGGAACCTGGAATGTTAGGTCAAGGTAAATCAAGGTAAATTCGACGTGGTCAAGCAGATGGCAAGAGTAAACACTGACATTTTAGGAATCAATGAACTAAAATGGATGGGAATGGGCAAATTTAATCCAGATTGCAACCACAAC